CCAAACCAAACCCCAGCGCTTCTTCTTTCCCCCAACCCAAACACTGTGAGGAAATCACTGCACACCAGCTTACGTTGGAGCGCTCGGCGGAACCTGACCCGTGTCGAGCCGTTCAGACGTTCGGAGAAGCAGAAAGTCCTCTCCACTCTCAGAGCCCCCCAGCACTCTCCTCCGAAATCTCACCCGACAAGCTCACCTTACTCCTCCTCGCTGTCCCGCTGCTGCCGCTGGAAGAGGCGCGGCCCCCATCGCCTCACGCGGGGCGAAGCGAGCGCTCGCCGAAGCGTCGGGTTGCCTGTGGGACTCGGTCGCGTCGGCCGGTGACCTCGCGGGCCTCTGCGCGCGAGAGGCACCTGAACGGCCGTGAGGTCTGCGAGGGGGCGGGGCCGACGCCCTCACGCTGACGCCAGGAGCCACAGGCGGAGGGCGGGCCGGAGGACGCACGCCTCCGAAGCGCGGCGCTTTAAGGCAGGCGGCGTCACGCAGGCGTTGCCACTCGCTCCTCTCCTCCTCCCCGCCGCCTTTCTGCGCATGGGCAGTAGAGGCTGCCGTTGGCCCTTTGCTTTGAGCTGTGAGGAATAGCAATAAAAAAGTGGGGAGGGATATTAGCGGCCCGGGACATTTTGCCGCCTGAGGCGAACCACAAAATGGCGTCCCTCTCTCTCCCCCTCCCCCCCAGGCAGGGGAGAAGCAGAGAGTGATGTGCCATAGCAGGAACAAGGAGAGGGGGAATAAAGATACGTACTGTATACATCAGGATATACATATACTGATATATATATACTGCAAGGACTGCAGTGGCAGTGAGAGATTTTACTCTCTTGGGCTCCATGATCACCGCAGATGGTGACAGCAGACACGAAATTAAAAGACGCCTGCTTCTTGGGAGGAAAGCAATGACAAACCTAGACAGCATCTTACAAAGCAGAGACATCACCTTGCCAATAAAGGTCCCTATAGTTAAAGCTATGGTTTTCCCAGTAGTGATGTATGGAAGTGAGAGCTGGACCATAAAGAAGGCTGATCGCCGAAGAATTGATGCTTTTGAATTATGGTGCTGGAGAGTCCCATGGACTGCAAGAAGATCAAACCTATGCATTCTGAAGGAAATCAGCCCTGAGTGCACACTGGAAGGACAGATCGTGAAGCTGAGACTCCAATACTTTGGCCACCTCATGAGAAGAGTCCCTGGAAAAGACAGAGGACGAGATGGTTGGACAGTGTTCTCGAAGCTACCAGCATGAGTTTGACCAAACTGCGGGAGGCAGTGGAAGACAGGAGTGCCTGGCGTGCTCTGGTCCATGGGCTCACGAACAGTCGGACTAAACAATACATCAGGAACAAGATCTACATTGGGATGGGCTGTTTCTGTGGATTCCGCAGCCCGAGGCAGTTGCCTCACCTTGCCTCCTATGTGGGCCAGCCCTGGCTAGCTTACTTCATGGCTCTTCCAGCTGCATTTGTGGCGCCACGGGTTAGATGCTGGAAATGTGCCCATCGCCCTCCTTGCTACCTGGCTTGGTAGATCTGCACGGATTGCAGTGGCAGAGGCAGCCGGTTGAGCTCACCGTGTGGTCCTGTTCCATGTCTGCTCAGAAGTGATGCCCTACTGGGCACAAGCTCCTTGGAAAGTGGGTGCTGGGCCACCCAGTCTCTTCCAAACCGGTTCTTCAACTCCGCCTGGCTCTTACGTAAGAGGCCTTTTTTAAAAAAATCATTTTTTCAATACAAACAACCACCACAAAAGACACATACAACAAAAACTATAACACTAATAACACAATTTTACAATTCAGATTTGAATACTGATATACCTAGGACTACACCTTTCTAACAATATTTTCCCACCTCTCCTCCTCCTATTTCCCACCACTGTCTGCCTTATCGCTTAAATATTCCTTCCAGATGTCTTCATATTTATCCATTCTTAATTTGTGTTGACATGCAATTCATTCATATGTAGCTGGTCTGTCCATATTATCAAACTATGACTCAATGGAATCTTTTCGCAGCTCTTCCAATTCATCAAAACAAGTTTTTTTGCTTCTAATATGGCATGGTACATCCATTTTTTTTGACCCCTTGTAATCTCCCACGTTTCCGGAATATAATGTAGAATTCAATTCAATTCCCCTAAATAATTTCTTTTTATTACTCTGGCTATAAATATCCTCGCCTCGCACCAAAATGATCTTATCATCGGGCAGTTAATCATCATATGTACTAAGTTCGCATTTTTACTCCCATATCTCCAGCGGTTGTCTGCACTTGTTATTTTCTTCTGGTTTAGTTTTGCTGGAGTCCAGTAGACTCTGAATATTATTTTCTGTTGGATAAGTCTTAGTCTTAGATCCATAGATGCTGTTTCTGTTGATTTTATACTTGACCCCCATATATCATTTGTTATCTGTACCCCTAATTCTTCACTCCATTTTTGTCTATTATATTCTAAATTATATTTCTTCCTGTTGAGTAGGGTTTTATATAGTGCAAGTGTAGAGTTTTTTGTTGCAGAAATTAAATCTTGTAGCTGCATGGGCGTTTTCGATGCTGCTATAGCATCAGGGCCAAACTGCCTTTCCAACATGTTTCAATTGGATGTATTGCCATTGTGTTTCACTGGTTAATCCATACTTTACTTGCAAAGTCTTATATTCCACAAATTTGTAATTTTCATCAGGTAATTGATTCAATGTCAAAATACCTTTTTCATCCAATTTTGCCAAATTATTACTTGACTTCCAATTTTTAATTTTGGGTTGGCCCATATTGTTAATTTCTCATACTGATAGGGGTCATCCTTATTATTTTTTATATTCATCCAAATTTTTATAGGTGCTTTAATAGTCTCCAGGATAATAGGATATTTTATAAAATCGGAACCGAGTTTAATCCACCATGTAAGGGGCCTTTTGAGAAGCTCATAAGCATGCATATTAAGAATCTGCACACTGCAAAAGCTCCCAAAGTGACACAGGAAGTTTTTCCAAGCAAGAAAACTAGAACAAAAGCAGCAAGGAACTTCCATGGGTTACAACCACTTGCATGAAATGGCACCCTAGAGGCATGTCAGTAGCACTGAACCAGCTGCTTACAGGCTCCGGAATACAAGATTGGGATCAGGGAATGGGAGTAGAGGTGGGAGCACAAATATTTCCTTCTTGGATAAAAGACTGGCAGGTGCATGGGAGCAGGTGAGCCATAGCACAGGTCAGGATAGATGCACTCACACAGCAGCCAGAACTGACTTCTGGGGTGAAGCAAGTGTGTCTTGTAGCACAAGTGGGAAAAGATGGTAGTCTTTTGCTGTGAGAGGGCACTGCCCCTTTCGCCTGCAGTAAGAAGCCTCCATGGTTTCTGCTACTGCAATTATAAATGTTGCTCTTGGTTAGAATCCTTGAAGACCCCCTGAACCTATTTTCATTTCCAAGGCAGCAGTTGTTCTGAGCATGCTCAATATACAGCAATCCAGATGGGACTAGAGAACTTCCTACAACTAAACTTCTAAACTATATTACAAGTGGTGACTATTTTGCTCGTATCCAATTGACGCAAAACCGTTGAGGCGTGGGTCCTTTTGCCAAGTGTAACTTACCTTAAGCACTTAACTTTCTCACTAGTAAATCTATTTATTGGCCTCATGCATGTGATTGATAGGAAATGAAACCCAGCCAGAGTGTTGAATGGATCCTTGGGTTGTAAAAAAGAAAAAGCACTGAACACAAACTATAAACAAGGACTAGCAAATAGAGCAACTTATTTTAACACAATTCCTCTTTCTTCATTTGAGTTTATTCATATCTCAATGGAGATTTGATACTCTGGCAAGTGTTCTATATTTTTGTTGTATGAATATTGTTTCTGCCTACTGTGGAGTTAACTAGTTTGCAAATAAGTCTACCTAAAGATGGCAAAGAGATGAAGACTGTAATCAGGGACGCGGACTTATAAAAAATATTGGGGGGGGGGCCCAGGAAAGCTCATGAATAATAAATAAGCTCATGAATATGCAAATAAAGTGGCGCCGCCTCCTCGTGAGCGAATAGGGGAGAGCGTGCTGCGCCTATTAATCAGCTCCAAAGGAAATTGGGTGGAGCTTTTGCTCGGGAGGGAGGGCAGGAGGCATGCAGCCCGCCCCTCCCTGTGCATTTTGGGCTGGGGGAGGGGCGGCGATGGCGCTCTGCTGGAGGGGCGCCGGAGATTATTGGGGGGGCGGAGCCCCCCCAAATGAATTTTTGAGGGGGCTCGGGCCCCCTCAAGCCCCATGGAGTCGGCGCCTATGACTGTAATACTAGAGAACTCAGCAAATCCTTTGTTCCCTTACTGGCGTTTTTCAAATAAAGTGCATTAATACAATAGAATATTAAATATTCAAAATCCTCCAACGGAGATTCTCTGTAATCCTTACAACTGTCATGTGAGGTAAATTAGCTGCATTATCAGTGTGCTGCAGATGGAAAAGGACTGAGAATGATTTGTGCAGGCCTGCCTGCTGTTAGTACGTTTGCCAGGCACTTTGAGGATAAAATACATCATGCTAAGTTGAATACTACTTTAACAGAGCCAAGTCTTAACTGATGTTGTGGGATCACTTTCAATTGATGCCTGAGGATGTGGACACGGTACTTTCAGTGATTTGGCCCACTACATACTCTCTTGACTCTTGCCGCATCATGACTTGAGCTAGAGGCAGACTGTGGGGTGAGCCTAGGAAGCAGCTAGTGCATCACAAGGGGATGATGCCAGATTCCTTGAAAGAGGCAGCTGTGGCTGCTCCTAAAACCCCTCCCCACACCCCCTGGACCTTGAGGTACTACACAACTAGTGCCTTGAGGTACTACACAACTAGAGTTCAGATTTGAATCGGGGAATTCCCAGCTCACACTCAAGTTTCCTTTTTCAAGTGATAAAAGGAATAAGGCTTAAATAGTCTCAAAACTTTGACATCCTCATGCATGATGGGTAGGAGGGAAATGGTCTGCTCTCTGGTGTTACCACACTTCTTGTATTAGGAAAAAGACCAAGTACTTTGCAGGATTCCACAGCTTATTGTCAAGGGCTTGCAGCAGGTAGATTAGTTTATTCCGGAAGATCTCCGTGTAATTTGCAAATTGGCAAACAAACAGAAACAACTTTTCCCACCTAAATTAGATGGCTGAAATGAAGAAAGCTAACCAAGAGAATACTTGTGTAAAAGGACTGTAGCAGATCAGTTCTGCTACAAATTCCTAAAATCCAAATGTGGTCAGTTTAATTCTATGTCTTTAGCAACTGGTTGGTAGATCTTGAATTTGTAGTAAAAAAAACAAGTATCTGCTAAGTCAGGAGCCTGTTAAACGCAACAGTTATTTGGGTTACTGAAGTTAAAACATAAAAAACAAGCTAGAAAACTGCATTATATAAAATTAACAATGGGAAGTTTGAACACAACAGAAACCATTTATTGATTCATTATTTTGAACAGTGATTACTATAACTGAAGTCTTATCAATGACTAAAAAAGCCAGACTTTTCCTGCCCACTTCATATTCTCTTTCAACCACTCAAGTGCACAAATGTTTTCCAAACCACACACTTGCTCCGTGCCACTATTTACTGTGAAGTGCTTTATGAAAAGCTTTGGAGTAGATATGTTAGTAGCTTGAATCAACCTCTCCACTGCACATTGATAGTTATCATCCTTGCCTTCACATCTGAAAAAGAGTTTTCACAATCAAGAAAAGTTAGAACCAGCAACCAGTCATTCTAAGATGATTAGCAGTGTGATATGAGCTACCATCCTGCCTTTCCTCCCCAAATGTGCTTCAATCCTCTCCTGTTAAGTCTTTCAACTGGGAACAAACGATAACTACTGTAATGTGTCAGCAGAAATGAAGCAATTACGTGGAAGAACCAGCTCCTTTCCACAACAAGCTTTCTTCCTAACTAATGTGTGACTGATCACAAAAAAAATGAGGAAATGGTACAAAATTAGAAGACAACACCAACAGTAGTGGGAGGAGGAGGAGGAGAAAATTCAAAAAGACAAAATAATAAAACCAGGTTTCTATTACTGGCAACATGTTACAAAAAGGACTTTGAAGAAATTAGGTATTTATTGTATTTTATAAGTTACTGATTTAAACTGATTATCATAAGATTCTTTTCCTTGACACAAATCAAAAGACATAAGCAAGAAAGCTGAGGGGAGGATACAGAATCATGCACTTGGAAAAGCAAATGAACTCACCTTTTCAGTACTATTTGAAGTATTTGATTGGAAGCACCAGGACTCTGAATACTACTAGCATTAGAAACCAAGAAAATTTCAATTGCTAACAGCATCTCAATCTCAGTCATGTAAGAGGGAATCAGAAGAAGTTTACGGTGAAGATTTCCTTCCAGTGGTGGGTAGCAACCCAATGCTAAAGCATCTAAAAAGTGACAGTAAATTATGTAAAAGAAGGTGTCAAAGTTGTACTAAACAGCACACATCTCTAGGTTTGTGTGTGGGTACTTGGATCATCTACTGCTTTATTGAAAAACAGTTTCTTCCAAGATTATTTGAGCTTCTGGACTACTTTTAACTGTTTCCAATTTCCATCCTACTATAATTGCTGTTTTGGACAGTCTCAAAAACTGAAGGCAAGGAGAGGTGGCAAACCTCCACTACTTGTTCAGAAAGTCCAAAGCTGCTCTTATTCCTAAAAGCTAGAAAACTCTAAACTTCAAAGTTCTGCAATTGAATTTTGCTACAATCTGGGACCAGACCAGCTTTTGTTTTCCCACCTCACTTTTTCCAGACGAGGTTAGCAACCTACTACTTTTCTTCAAAAAGAGAAGTTGTCACTGAACGTTCCTTTTGCTGTAGATTCATTCTAAAGCACAAATCGAGGAAATCTAGAAAATGCTGGGTTTGCTTGGAATGGCAACACATATCAGACGGGTCTTCTGAATAATTATAGCACAGGTCAATATCTTAAAGCAAGTCATAAAAAGCCAAACAAAGCAGAGTACTTCTTTAGCTATATTGTACCTTCAGGAGCTCCCAAGAGATCTCCCAAGAATAATTTTGGGCAGAATTCTTCAATATCTAGTTGTTAATGTGTAATTGTGGGTTAGACTGCAGCCTGAACTTTTCTAACAATGCAACCTGAATCATATCTATTCAGAAGTGAGTGCTACTAAATTCAATGTAGCTTATTCCTAGATAAGTGCATTTAAGATTGCAGCATAACTGAAGTTCTTCAACTAGTAATGTAGTAGACATTGAGAGCTTACGTTTATAATGTGCTCTGGCTTTAAGCCACCAACAGCCTCTTCCAAGTGCTGTGATTAATGCTCTAAGTAAATCAAATTCAACGGGAATGTTCTTTGCAAGCATGAAATCTACTACAGTAGATGATATTTGAAGCTTCTGGCTTTCCAAAGAAGCACCTAGCAGTTTATTAAATAAACTCCTGTACTGGGATACATCCAAACTATCTGCAAAAGAAAAACATTACAAGTGATTAATTTTCTTCAATTATTAAGTAGAACATTGGTTTCAGCAATATAATAGTGGAAAACTACAGCAAAGATTTCCCTCTCTGTTTTAAGATTTTTTTAAAAAAGAAGATCCTAGTTTCTCTCATTTTCATAAACAAATCAACTCTGCTTAGAATGCACACACGCACGCGCGCGCGCACACACACACACACCCCGGCCACCTGAGGCATCATTTCTTCTTGTATTGGAATAACGGTACTGCAGAATGGTTTTCTGCTAAACGAAATATTTCAGAAGTGTGTACACTAAGCAATAAATATTATTTTCATATCATAAATGCTACACAGAAATAGACCTTGATGAGAAGCAAAAAAAGTTACAAATATATTGTGATCTGCAAAACAAACAGCTTAAATCCTGCATCCTGAGATACATAGGTGATTGTTTTATTAACCCCTCTAAAGAGTTTGGGAGAGCAAACAGTGAACATCTGTGCAGGCTTCCCAGTCTGTTTTTGAGCCCAATTAAAAGCTCTAGTTTCAACTGTTAAAGCCCTTATTTGCTTTTAGCCAGGCCCCCTGAAGGACCACCTGCTCTAATTTATACCTGCCCAATAATTGACTTTCATCAGAAACCCTTGTCCAGGTTCTCCTGCTTAGCAAAGGGTCTTATTTGTGGTCGAATGGCCTCCCTAGAGAAGACTGACTGGTGCCCACACTATGATCCCTTTTGGTTTTGTTAAGTCTTTGAATCTTAATCATACAATTATTTTAGTACTTTTAGAACTCAGAACCAAGTTGCTCCCCCTGGCTGGTATTATGTTGTTTTAAATTGTTTTCAGTTGCTGTGTTGGGTTGGCTTCCACTGCCTTGATTGTCTTATAACTGGTTTTCGTGCTTACAATTTAAATTTTATATTTTGTATTTGAATGGTGTAGAAACCACCCATATATGGGCAGTATATAAATGTTAATATACAAATATTTATCCCATTATTGCCCCTCACAATCCAGAAGTATAGGCGAAGACTTAAAAATAGTTCTGAGACCATCCAGCAAGCTTCATGGCTGACCTGGATCAAACCTAAGGTCTATGTGGTACAGCGCCCCCTTTCCCAGTGATTGGCAAGATAGTCATGGGAAGGAGAAGAGGGCAATTGCCTTCTTCTGTGTGGTTTTCCAGCAACTGACATTCAAGGAATTTTAACTCTAATCTCCACACTGCCAGTCCACAAAGGGTTCCAACACTGCTATATGCCAAGAGATAATCCATCTCAGTAAATCTGTTCTCATTCCAATCTCATCCAAAATTGCCCCACCAGCTCTTGGCATCATTTTCAGCAGTACACATTTCCAGCTTGTTGCTCCTCCGATCATCTCTGCCCATTGTGTTTACCTCATTCATTTCCTGACACCCGAGGCATCCCTTTACACTTCCTTTGCCTCTACCCTGCAAGCTTCAAGGTATTGCAGCTTTAAAGTTTTATTGGCAGATTAAGAATATATTGTAAAGGACAGGCAGGTCAGATCCCCAGCAAAGACTACTTTCATGACTTAGGGTAGGAGGACCTGTTTCTGGAGGAGCCTTCTTGAAGGCTAACCAATAAGCTTTAGCCTCTCCCCCTTCTGATTTCAAAGGAGAACCAGCCCAATGCAGACTGCCTGCACTCTAAGAAGGCAGGGAACAAATACTTGAGATTAAAATATATACAGTTGTACCTCTGCTTACGTATTCCTCTGGAAATGTAAACTTCGGGTTGCGAACGCGGCAAACCCGCAAGTGTATACTTCTGGGTTTTGCTGCATGCACAGAAGCGCTCAATCGTGCTGTACGCATGTGCAGAAGAGCGCCTCCAGTTACAGACCTTTCAGGATACGGCTGCATCTCCGGAAACTATCCCGTCCGTAACCAAAGGTACCACTGTATATGAATGGCAGTGATGATGCAACATGGTATCTAGCTAGATACATACTATTGACAGGTGTATCCTGCTTTGTAGATTCCTGAAAGGTCTTACCAAAACAAAAACAAAAACACCTTGTGCGTTTCTTAATTCTATAGACCTCAAAACAGAAGAGACAGGATAAGAAACAGAAAGAAGCGGTTGTTTTAAACTGAACAGTTGCTCTCCTTTCAGGAAGAGAATGGAAGGAAAACCTTTCTTATGAAATGAGCCATCTCTGTCAAGAACTTGCAGCATAAAATACCAATTTATCTTAGTATCCGATTAAAAGCCAATAGATGCTTACTAGCCATTGAGAATGGAATTATAAACACTTACTACAAGAATTCCTGAAGCCTGGTAGATTTTGCAAGACTTCAAATGCTTCTCCATAACGGCTCTTTGCAATGCACTCAGATGCTATTATATATAGCAGGTTATGTCTCTTGAGGACATCCATTCGATCACAAGGCCATGTTAGAGTACTTATTATCCATTCCGACTCTAGAGAGATTAATACTGGTATTTTAAAAGCGATTAAAATGAGGCCATGAATGCTGACAAACAAAATAATATAGGGCCTTGTGAAAGATCCCAGATGACTGCCCACCTTGCATTCAGCTATTTAACAAAGAGCTGCTCTCCATGCAGAGCCTGAGGAAAATAATTTTGATGTCCAGTTATGAACTACTGTACTGACCATTGTGAATCTCATGAAAATGTATGGAGGCTGCCAAGTCTTGAGTGTTATCTTGGCAGCTTATGTGGAAAACTATCAGTTTGGCCTAGCCTTGTTGACAAGCTTGAGTTCCTGACTGAGACAGAAACCAGGTGTCCCCAAGGTATTTGCACAGGATGAGGGAGAGGGGAGAGGGAGAGAAGAGTTTAAAATGTGTGATTGGAGGATATACTGTCATATATCATATATCCCCCTTCCAGAAGCCGCAGGTCTATGGGGTTCATTTCCTGGTTGGCTACTGCTTGGAACAGCTACCAAAAAAGTGTCACTTGAAGCACGGCAGCAGGTCAGAGCAGCAGAAGCTGGGGTTAAACACAGTCAAGAGCACCAAGGGACCATCTGCACAGCACTGTGCCGCACTGTTATGGAACAGGCCATTAATCTCACAAAACGTTACATAACTAATGAGAGAAAGTTGCTCTCCTTAAAAATGCAAAGGAGGTAAGGATTTGACATTTCTGCATTTAGCAAGACATGAAATATGAAGGAGACCAAATTTTAGATGACGGACAGTTCCCCTTGCTTCCTTTATTCTGCACTATTGTCAATGTACTTTAATTATTCACCAAGCCTATGTCAGCAAATTCTCAGAAATATGAGTAAATGTCAGCTTGAGACTTCAACCACATATTTTGGCTGTAACGTTAAGGCAGAACCTACACGTGTCATTTTAAGCCTTGCTTATTTCTGTTAATAAAGAAGCGTACCTCTCAATACCCATAATGCTCCATTTAGGCTCCTGCACTTGAGAAATATTTCCGCAGCAATGTTAACAATGTGGCACCGTGAAGCCAACCTCTCCTGACCAAGAAGTCCTTTCAAAAATGTGAAATGTATCTTTAAGGCATGAAGCGTATCCAGAACCTTCTTGGCCTATGATACAAAGGGGGAAAGCAGCGTAGAGAATTACCACAGTATCAGTTTTTTGTCTCACAATACTTGTTCATGCACGACACTGTATACTCCTAAGCACAAGGGGTGGTGGTTGTTCTTTTTTGTTCTTAGCTAACAACACTGATAAGTGTGAAAAAAATGAGCATGGAAAGGAGCAGTAGTTTTTACCTGTGATAAGCTCCTTTCTGCTGTGATAGGATGACATCCTCATTTGGGTTGCTCCTCCCACTTGCTTCTTTTCGGACCAGTCAGGACAAAGGACTGAAGATTGGCTGCTGCCTCCCAAAAGGGAGCCTTGTAGCCTAATTGGTTTAGCCCTAGTCTAGTGGGAGGAGCAATCTGAACAAGGACGTTATCCTCCACCACAGGAAAATATTGGTTCAGCCAAAGCACAATACACAAGCATCTTGAGCTGCACTCCCTTCACGCAAGGAATTGTCTTCTGCTTATAAATTTAATTCAAGATTAAAAGGCACCAATATTTTTATACCTGTATGGTTTGCAATTTCAGCTTAGGAGTCCAAAAAGGCAAATTGCTTTGTTGGCATGTGTTCAATGATTTCCGAAACCACTTTGAACTTATAAAAATGAGTATGTAGTATACCAAGCATTACCCTGGCTCCTAAGCCTTTATATGAATAATTTGGCTGGAAATTTCCGAGATTTTTTCCACACACACACACACACACACACACACACACACACCTCAAGAGGAGAGCAAGCATCAGGCAAATGAGACTCTTTAAAAGCAAATCGCCAAGTCCATTTGTCACAGCGGGAAAACCTTGCCACATATATAACCAATTAACCAAGTTTAGCAAATGAAACAATTTTTAAATTTGGCATGTCCTCCACATAACCCTTAATAACCATGATGTACAGGTAAGGAAAGAAACACTGCCTCCCCTAAACCCATACTACAGTTCCCAAGAATGTGTATGCCTCTGAAAACAAACTAACTTAGAACTACCGGTATATATAAAACCCCCAAGCATTCACAGACGCTACTTGAAACTGCTGATCAGTTTATAATTAAATCCATCCCCACTCAGAAAACACTTACTTAAAGGCACTGTTTCTGCCAAAGTACTTCTTATGCTATCTTGCTTATACAGTATATATTGTGCATGATCAGGCAAAGTTTTTAAAAATCTTTAAAATCCCACTGACTTAAGTAGGAGAAGTAAGCACTTTCCCACTGAAAAGAGTGAGACTTAAATTTAAATACAGCAATGCAATAACCACAATTATTATTTGAAGCATTACAACTTGTTTTGGTCTTCTTCTAAATTGCCTATAAAAGTTTGCCAAGGTCATCCATCTAACTGAATTTTAGAGATTCAAAGTTGGCAGAAGCAAATTAGAATAATCATAGCAATGTGGGAATCATTATTGTTAGCAATTAATATGAGTAAAGGAACAGTACCCCCCCCCCACTGCCGAGGTGTGCAATAATTTCTAGATTAGGTAAAGGGACCTCTACCATTAGGTCCAGTTGTGGACGACTCTGGCGTTGTCTCGCTTTATTGGCTGAGGAAGCTGGCATACAGCTTCCAGGTCATGTGGCCAGCATGACTAAGCCGCTTCTGGCGAATCAGAGCAGTGCACGGAAATGCCGTTTACCTTCCTGCCGGAGCGGTACCTATTTATCTACTTGCACTTTGATGTGCTTTCTAACTGCTAGGTTGGCAGGAGCAGGGACCAAGCAACGGGAGCTCACCCCGTCGTGGGGATTCGAACCGCCGACCTTCTGATCGGCAAGTCCTAGGCTCTGTGCTTTAGACCACAGCGCCACCCACGCCCTCAATTTCTCGATTAAGTATCTCCAAAACCATGCTCCCATTGTCATATGTTACCTGCATGCTCATGTAATATGTGATAAAACGCATAGGTATGCCTTGTAAGAAGCAAAGTACCTTTGGCCACTGCTGCAGTTTGTAATATGAAAACATAGCACCGATACCAATCCTTCCCAATAAAGTTGTATCTGTCTCATTGTGACAAGGATCAGCCTTAACTAGAAAAGAAAAGAAACATGTTGCTTTAGATTTCTTGAAATTATGTTTTTAAATGGAGGAACTAGTTAAATGATTACCCATTCCCAAATGTGCCAATGTGACATTCATTCTGGGTAATAAATAATCTGAATTATTTCCTATATAAACAGCTTTTTTAAAGACATACAATAAACGTAGCAGATTAGCAGGCTTCCATCTTCAACGTGCTTACTAGGTGGCATGTCTCATTGGACACAGTGGGGACTACTGAGTTATTATGCTGTAACTCTGTTTTGAAGGGTGGCAAATAAGGTGGGAGAAAATGGCACAACCACACCACATACGGCCCATTTAAGGGCCAGGAAACCAACACCATCAGTATGGAGCCAGTTGGCTCAGATACCACGTTAAAAGCTAAATCAAGAGTGGGGAACCTCAGACCTTGGGGCCAAATCCAGCCCTTCAGAACCTTCCCCAGGCCACATCCTTTGCACCCTGAGTATTTTTTTGCACCCTTTGCATCCGGAGTATTTGCATTCCTGGCTGGAATGTCTCCTGGAACTCTGATGGCTCTTATTTATCTGGATGGAGGATAGAGGGGGTATTTGTGTGTGCATTTCTAAACTAGCTTACTGCCCCCCCATTACATTTGTTGCTCCACCCACTTTTGCCTCTGGCTCTACTCAACACTGGCATGTGGCCCTCTGAAGGTGGCCCAGAAGGAAATGTGGCCCTTTGGCTGAAAAAGTTTCCCCATTCTTGTTTTAGATCATAAAAGGCCCTGGGCTTGTTTCAATTAAGTCTACAGAGTTTAAGCAAAGTAATCAAAGTTTGGGCACGACAGTAAAGTGTCGCTAATTCAAAGTCAAAAGCAGGAGGTTTTTATTTCCTCTTCTTGCATGTGAAAGAGTACACAAGCCCAATGATTTCCATGGGTAGTACCTGGAATGTGATATTATTGTTTAGCTCTATGTCCAAATTGGCCTAGTGAGTGGCAATGTCTACTACTGTACGCCAGGATACCAGCCCTTCTTATCTTTTTACATTTGCAGTGCTGAGCGCTTAGTATTGTGGCAGCAATAGCATAAGAAGGTGCAGATTGTACCAGCTGCTCCCTGAATCCCATTAAATGTCCCTTGATGGCACAGTGCAGACTCTTGATGGCTTTGTGTGTTCCCCTGCCTGGAAATGCCTTATCAGATAACTTGTGGTTTGGCACCTTCTTGGCATGTCAGGGACACCCTTGTCTTCCCTGGGTTTCTATTTGCTCTCACGGGAACTCTGGGAATGAGGACTTGCTCAAAAGGAACTGCCACATGCCTGACCAGGCCTTCCTCATTGAACTTCCTCATCCCCCCTCCTATGGTTTAGTGGAGGGTCAGCAAACTTTTTCAGCAGGGGGCCGGTCCACTGTCCCTCAGACCTTGTAGGGGGCCGGACTATATTTTGAAAAAAAGAATGAATGAATTCCTATGCCTCACAAATAACCCAGAGATGCATTTAAAATAAAAGGACACATTCTACTCATGTAAAAACACGCTGATTCCCAGACCGTCTGCTGGCCAGATTTAGAAGGCATTTGGGCCAGATCCGGCCCCTGGATCTTAAGTTTGCCTACCCATGGTTTAGTGCAAGGTTTCCCAAAACTGGGTCTTTAGCAGTTTTTGGATTACAACTTCCATCATCCCTATCTAGCAGGACCAGTGGTCAGGGATGATCTGGACTGTTGTCCAAAAACAGCTGGAAATCCTGGTGTAGTGCATTTCACTGAGGCTCCATACTGGCTGGTTTGTTCTCAATTGTACCAAGTCAAGTGTTTGGTAGGCTTTTGCCTTCCCTTCAGTCGAAAGCCTACTTTGATAGGAGTTTGTACTCTTTCGTCATTACTCTGGCAGAAATTGCACTGGGCAGAATCTCCAATGCAGGGTGGAGCCTCATATGGGGTCTTGGGGGCAATGTTTCAGGTCTCTGCCATAGCTCAGAGGCTCAGGCCTGACATTACTCACCACAGCTTGCCAGTGGGATCTTAAATGCATGGCCTGTGCTATAGCGGGTTCTTGATGCTGGTTAACTCCCAAGTGCCTCAGTGGTTGTGCTAGGATGGGTTAGCAAACACCAGGGAGGTCTTTTTGAATCAAGAACCAATCCTGCCTCACTGCTATGCAACATCCACTTACCTGCTGCAAATAATGAAGTTGTGGCCTGCGTTTAAACATACATGTGTTTGGGTCTGTGCTCTGTTCCCTTGTCCACAGCCTACTGAACATACCACACAATTAGAATATAAGGGTAATGGGTTGACTCCTCACACTGCAGATGAGGCACACATATCAGTGTTAGATGAACTTCTGTGGATGCACTATTTAAAGATCTCTCCATGCCTGCAAACTTCCTCTAAAATCTCATTGGGTTGGTTTGCCTGTGAAATATTTGTGATGGTGCTACACTTGGAAGAGGACTTGGGGGTGATAGTACTTGCTGAAATGATATTTTGGTGAAATACCCCTAACTTTTCTTAAAGTTCCCTTTGCATGTGACTCCAGAATAATGGGCAATATTGTACAAATTTTACCTGCAACTGCAAATTCACAAAAAGGAACGCCTGGTCTCTCTTCTGTCACTGAATCGGTCAAGATGTTAGCAATACACAATGAGTACTTTTCAAGGTCACCAAAATTTTCACATCCACTTCTCACATTAACGTATAAAGTTCCCAGTTTGGCCCAGTCACCTTTTTCTTTGCAATGCTGTTCAAAAAGTAATAAAATGTAAATAGAATTATTCATAATTTAATATGATCACAAACATAGTAAACTTAATAAGCATTTGAATTTTTTGTTTTAAAATTAGAAGTGTTATCTCACTTTAGTAACTTGGGATTTGTTTGTAACTTTGTCACTGGGAAACTAGTAAATTTTATAAGATCTTTCACAACCAAAGCATTCAAAATAGTTATTTTACAAAGAACTGAAAGATAAGTCTTCCAATTATTCTTCAAACAATACATATTGATCAGATATTATTCTTGCAAAATGCAATCTAATTTTCAAATAGGGAAATATATAGTATTATCTAAAATGAACTGCCTTAAGCAGCTGACAGATACTTTACATTTTGTTTAACAGTAGCTTCATAGGGACAAACGAAGATGCTAAATACAAAGATGTTTGGGTTTCTATTTAGCTTTTTAAACATATACAAAATGCAGCAAAGGAGGTTGCAATCTACCTCAGGCTAGGCTGTGCTACCTGTTCCCCTTCAGTGGGTTTTCCAATGAAAACCTTGGATGCAGGTGCACCCACAACTTTTCTCTCCAGCTAAAAGCTGCCAAAAAGTCAAGTTTTCATCATGTGCAAGCCTAATATCATTCACATTTAGTACTTCCAAAAGCAGCTGCCATCAGGACTGATTTCTTCAGGGAAGGATCTTCTTGGACAGGACTTATTAAGATCAACAGATGACTTTCTGTTCCAATTAAAAAGATGAACAAGATGCGGTGCCATGAAGTCACCAGACACATTTGGCTGGCACACTGTATAAGCATTTGAGTCAAGCTTTCTGAGAAGCAACTATGGTTGGAAAGAAGGAAGGAAGGAAGGAAGGAAGGAAGGAAGGAAGGAAGGAAGGAAGGAAGGAAGGAATACCCAAGATTATGAAAGATGATAGTGTAGCAGTCAGGTGAATTGCAACTGCTAGCTAGGAGTGATGATGAAGCAATTAATCTTCAAGCTTTTCACATTGAGTACTTAACAAATACATCAATGTGATTTCTGAGACTGAAGATTGGGGGACATTTAAGCAGGCTTTAGCAGTCCAGGTCCCTAAATCTCTCACTGCCCCATTTATTTCTCCTTTTGGAAGGGAAAGTTATTTCCCTCCATATTTTTATGAATACTTAACCACCAAAAGCAAATATGACATTCAAGCATTTAGCAACCCAATCGCCATGTGATATACAGAAGCAAGGTCTACTGATTCCAAGGTATCTTTCTTCCATTTGATTTGATTAGTACTGAGATGTCCTCCCAAGCTTGCTTTTAAAACAATGAGTATATACTGTACCTGAAATTCTGCAATTGCTGAATCCAAGCCACAAAGGCTAGCCTTATGGAAATGTCTTGCCTGAAATCTTAGGAACAAGAGTTATTTCTTTTGAGAAAGCTTAAATTTGGAGTTAACAGAAAAAGCAACAAGTGACTTTCTAAATAATTATATTTTGCTGCACTCCCCCCCCAAAAAGCATACACTCTGCAATCAAAATATGATCCAGGTTTTTTTTTATCTGCTGCATGGCATGGGTAGCATACAACAAAAGTGTGCACCTGGATACTTCATAGTGTTATATGTTTGTGTGGTTCAGTGTGGATATCTTTGTGTTCCTTCCAGGCCTATGATGCTGTATATGTGAGGTTAGAATGTGTGAGAGGAAACCTGTGTGAGGCGAAATCAAACCAGTTCTTAAGTTAATTGCCTTAGCTAGCCAGTTAATTACTGCCATTGACATGTCCAAAGAGGTTGCCCTGTTCCCATAGACACAAATATGTGGTCGTTCCCACCTCATCTGGCTGTATGCTACATCACCCTAGGGCAGATAACAATAGGCAGAGGGGGTAAGGCTGTGTGCGAGAGTGTTTGGGCCCCTGCTGGACCCAGAGCTATGTCCTGGGGATCTCCCTCAGAACCTAACGGGGAGGCAAGATCTGTTGGAATGTTAATACTGTGTGAGCCTTTCCATCCTATGCTCAGCTTGTATATATGTAAATAAAACCATATTTTCTAAAGATGCCAGGGTCTCCACTGACCTTCATTCTAAGGAAACTCAACCCTGGGCAAGCACTGGTACTGCTGGAAGTCTCTTGCCACTTGGAGACTGGGGTTTACACAACAATAATATTGCAAAAGGTTTGAGGGCACAGCCTTCATAATACTTTAAATATTGGCAGATGAAGCAGCTCATAAAAGATGCTGACAATGCTTACTATAATGAGGGTTTAACAGTGACATTACCCAAACAGCATCTCCCTCTTGCTTCCCCATTCTCCTACCTGTTGTGGCCTCGGATTTGGTCCCTACAGTCTAAATAATTACCTCTTTCTACTCCTAAATTCACCCAACAACTCTGCATACTTACTGGGGATTGTGGTAAGCATAACCAAGTGTAGCTCATTAATTACTTAGTTGGGTTTTGCTCCAATTCCTCCTTCCTCTGTCCACAAGCTCCAACAGAAAGTTCAAGTCCCAGTTCAGATGCAATGACCATGGTTTGTTTATTAGATGGAAGATTAGCATTATGCACTGTAATGAAGGACTTCCAGGGTTTCTTAAACCGAAGCTTCTCTCTTGCATCCAAACTGGGAAACTGGTTTAACTAGGATCTGATCCTGGTTTCATATCCTAGCGTGTACTCTGAGTGTCATACTACAGTTCCCAGGTTTGGATATAAAGAGGAAGTATGGTTTAACAAACTGAGACCTAATTGTGGAGCATGAGCGAAAGGAGGAAGCACATAAGCAAATTCTCATTTTGGGTTTGATAAACCACACTTTATTAGACCAAGATTGTTATGGCTGCACCAGACATAAAAATTCAGAAATGGGAGATCTTTATCACATTGTGATAAGTGCTATTGCCAAACTTCATTCATTTTTGTTCATCCTAAGAAAACTCCATGGACATATAAAAGGAGAAGCTTTGAGAAAAAAGTTGAGTGTTTCCAAGGCATGCTCTGGTTCATGGGGTCATGGAGAGTTGAACATGACTAAGACGACTAAACAACAACAAAACAAAGCATAAGAGCCCTCAATGGCAGCTTCCAAAATAAAAAATAAATAAAATCAATAATATAAGCCAATATTTAATATTGTCATCTTGTTGAGATCGAAAAATAGTTTATAAAATGCGTAGACTGGCATTTTATGGCACAAGTAGTTGAGAAAATATATTTTATATTTTAGGTTTAATATAGATTGCATAAGAGATGAACATACCTGGACAAAAAAATAGCTTGTTCCTGACTGGAAACTTGTAGTTGGTTTAGAAATGAGGTGATGCAGCCAATGTGCTCGTCTTTAAAAACCATTCCACCATCACAAAGCTATGACAGGAAGGAAATAAACCCAAAAGCACCAAAAACCTGAATATCACTGAAGACTTCCTAAGCAATTATATGTTTACAATGTTCTGTACAAGTGATTAACAATAGACAGTTAAGTAATGCATCTATGTATAAAGCAGTGTTGGGCAACTGGCTTTCAAAATCCCGCTGCAAGTGATCAGTTTTGTTATCTGGCATGAGTGATCTTTCCTTCCCCAAGCAGAGAAAGAAAAGGGGTTGGGTTCAGGCTTCACCAATTGTCAGAATTTCCCGCCAACAAAATATTAGCCCTACTGTATGCGACCCTCAACAGCAAAGAGGTTGCCAATCTCTAGTATAAAGCCTTATATAACCTATGCTCTGGGGATAAGGGAAAATTGGTGGAAGAATTCTATAGCTAAATGGATTTTGGAGGGAACAGCATTCCCAACCTCCAGCCAAATTCTGTTTAATTCACAGTTGCACTGACTCATAGGTAATGCAAATTATACTATTCCTATGGTAAAGCCAGGACTTATCATAACATGAAGCAGTCACTTCAGTCAACAGATTTTAGTTTGGATGCCAATTTTGCGCCTCCTGCTAGTAGACCTCTGTGTTATGTAAGAAGGGTGTAAATTTTGATTTTTTTTCTTGAGGTATAAAATGTCTAAGGTTAGTCCTAGTATACTGACCGGGTTGAGTCTTCTAAATACTATGATGTTATAGCCTTTGCAGAGGCCTATAGAAGAAGCTAGTACATGACAGCAGCTTATGATCATGTAAAGGGATGACCCAGAATTCTATAAAGCTGTCCAAATTCTCCAAATCTTATACCGATTTACTGTACAAAATTCAGCTGCAATCCTCCATGCTCCCATTATATATATATTTTAAAATTCTTTCTCCCTGGTATTCAAGAAAGCATCTTTCAAAACATTCCTTAATATTACAGGACCAGAAACACCTCCATGGCATTCATAACTTTAGTCAGTTTTAATCATCTGAACAAACTGCCCAATGAACTTAGTTATATAAACAGTAACGTAACAAATAAATAAATGGGAATTATATATGCCACCTTGAGTTCATTGGAGAAAAAAGGTGGAATATAAATGCAGTAAACAAACAATAGCTTAGTATATTATCTGCAAGGCTGATACTATTTCTTGGCTTAAGTTTTTAATTCTATGTGTATTGACTGTGGATGGTAGAATGTATTTTCAATAAATATGCTCTACGTCCATATACAGTCACACCTCAGGTTGTGAACGCTGCGGGTTGCGCGTTTCCGGGTTACGGACAGCACCAAACCTGGAAGTACCGGAATGGGTTACTTCTGGGTTTCGGTGCTCGTGCATGTGCAGAAGTGCAAAATGATGTCATGTACAGAAGTGCTGCATTGCATCACTCGTGTGTGCAGATGTGGCGCTGCAGGTTGCGAACGTGCCTCCCACACGGATCACGTTCACAACCCAAGGTATGACTGTAACTTTCTTTTGGAGTCAGTTTTTAAAAGGGGTTGACCTTTGGACCCACAACCTTCAGCATGAGAAAGCATAAAATCAAATAAAAATGAACATAATTTATGTGATTGATAAGATGTGTAGAAGAAGCAGATAAATTTATGCAGAAGGCAGAATGACATTTAGGATAGAATCAAATAATCAAAGTCATACCTTACAAGAAATGTCAATTAACTCAGGCACTAAGACTCTTAGTTTCATGGACGCCACTTGTTCAAAGACATTGAGGAGAATGTCTACAGTTGGCTAAACAAAAATGCCTTAGCATTAGAGCTAAATACATTAGCTGTAATTAACAGAACTTCAAGGAACAATTTCAATCTGAAATAAAACACCTGGCTCTCGTATAGATGGCTTCCAAGAGTTAATCATTACTCCATGGCATGTGGTTGCTACTTCTAAGTGACTGGGATACTGCACCTGTGCAGTATCACCTGTCCTGGTGAACCTCAAGCACTGGACAGGCAACGTGGTGGTGGTGTGGGAAGTTAATTCTCTGTGGTGACTGCCATGAGTGTGGCAATTGGGTGGTTGATTGGTGGCTGTGGCAAGGGCTGCTGCTGTGCCAATTGGGCAGACGCTTCTCTGCTTCTGTGACGTGGGTGATTGGCAGAGTTTGTCAGTCTGTTGAGTGATTTTCGGCATCCCTCCCCCCAAAAAGCTCAACAACTCTGGGCAATCTCCCCCCATTTTCTTAAATTGGAGTCTCCAAAAATATATCTTATAGACAGAAAAATACGGTATCTTCCAAACAAGTGATTATTTTTTTTTGGGGGGGGTACTTGATCTTAATAACAACTTAGGTTTAAAAAGACTAATAAATGTATTGTTTCACGAGCTGTTGTACGACTGAGCCAGCTTCCTCAGTGTCATGAACTTTTCTGGGTATTGCGTGTAGATATATGCTCAGATGAGGAACCAAAGTTCTGCTGCCTGCTTTCTACCTGTAGTGTTTCTCCAAGAGAGTTTGGCTTCAAGAGGAATCGGGCCCGACTCAGCCATTTCCAGCTAGTAGACTCCTGATTACATCAGCTTCCCAGGGAAAGGGCTTAAAAGAAACACTGTCTTGGGTGGTGGCCCCCCAAAGGGAGAAAAACAAAAGGGATCATCTTCTTCATCTTTTTACTGAATTAAAGCTAGTCTGTAAGGTATGATTGGCTGACATGCCATTACACAAGGGAGTGGTGCCTGCCGACCTGAAGGAAGCAGTGATGCAACAACTCCTAAAGAAATCCCATATGCAGATTTCCTGGCAACTACTGGCTGAACACTAATACACTCCCACTTTGAGGCAGGTAACCAAGAGGATTGTGGCACTTCAGTTACATACATTCTTGGACAAGATGCATTATCTGGACCAGGGGTTGTCAACCTGCTCTCTACTGCCCACTAGTGGTTGTTTCAGGATTCTAGGTGGGCGGTAGGGGTTCTACGGCACAAGCTGAATCCTCCTTCCATCAAGCACTGGTGAGAGGTAAGGAAATTTTACCATCAAGAAAGATGCATTAGTGGGTGGTAGGTATAAAAAGGTTGACTGCCCCTGATCTAGACCTATTTCAGTCTGGGTTCTGGCTTGCTTCGAGACTGATTTAGGCTGCATCCACACTGCAGTTCATTCCGTTTTCCTGATGTTTCTCTGTTATTTTGCACGCTATACTTGAGCTTTCACAGAACGTAAAAGCCACTTCTGGAAAACTAATGGAATGGACCACATTGCAAGTTTAGTTTTCAGCCCGCTCAACCCAGAAAATCAAAGGAGTTTCGCACAGCAATTTTCCTGCCTTTTGGTAGGTTGACACCGCAGTCACGCACGTGATGAGTCAGGTACTGCACTTCCCTGGCCATTTAAAGGCTGTCTCCCCTCCCTGCCCCACTTTAACATTTTTGGCTCTTGTAGATTTTTAAAAATTATCTTATGATTTCCAAATTAATAGCTCAGAATCAAAACCCAAGAAAATAAAATTGAGGGCTTATTAAGATAAACACATGACAAGTCATTATATCATGAGTAAGAAGGCCTTTTAAGCTGCAGTTGTATACCCATTTTCTCAATGGGACTTACTTCTAGGTAGACATATATAGGCTTCACTAATAAAAAATACCAAGTTACTTACCAGTAATTTAATCATTATGCTGGTGTGGAATACAAGAAATAATTCTTTCAGCAAACAGCACTGGAGCAAAGATGTTAGCAGGTTATTTAGTATTTGTGAATCCAAGTGCTTTTCAGGAACAGCATTTCTGCAGTAATCTGTAAATACCTGGGCTAAAAAAAATGGGAAATTTAAGTGTGAAATTGTTTTATGTAGCATACTACTGAACCATTAATTAACACATTTTTAAAAGGCAAAAATGAGTAAAAATGAAGCACTGAAAATCTATTTTACTGGGCAAGTGCATTTGTAATGTTGAGAGCAGTACCTATGAACATATGAAAAGCTCCTTTATTTCTCATCGGCATTATTTCATGATCTGTTGGATGAAAATAGCTGTACCAAATTTTGTTCCTTTTTTTTACAACAATTGTTCTAGTACACCTTGGATCCGAAAATGCTCACATCCCTAGTCAAGCCCAATGAAGAATTAATTTAGCACTTTAATCTGTAGGCCACATTAATATTTACTGGTTCATAACTTCACCTAAAATGAGAGAGGGATAGTACCAACTAAAGCAAACACCTCAGCAAGGATACCTCAATATGTACAATATCCAAAAGAACCTTATTGTGGGGAGCATATTAGGAAAACACAATTTCCCTCTCAACAGTGAAATTCACTACCTTGAAAAATGTCATCTAGAGCTTCTGCAACAATTCATCTGCATATTATTGTTCTTAAAAAAGAATTAAATTAAATTAAATTATGGTAGGGCCTTGGTCTCATATACATATGTCCCAATAATGATAATACTACTTCCTGTTTTAGCACCGAAGTACTAATATAATAAAGCCCACAAACCAAAGAACTTCAAGCGCTTATACCACAAAAAAACCTCATTCAGGTTAGAATTCTAGTTCTGAATAGAGTTCCAGATCTAAGTAGAACTGGCTACAGGATTTTGCCTTTATGTTCTACATATTAGACTGCCTATCAAAAACTATTTCAGAATGTTAAGAAACTATGCAATGTTAACAGCCAAATATCTACTCAGCTGTATTATGGAATGTATTTTGTGGTCTGCTACATATACCACCGTCAATCTTCAAGCAAAACCTATATTTTGTCTTATAATGGTGATTATATCATACCTGCACGCTGCAACAAAACCTCTTCACCAATACTTATATATGTATTAAGTATTTCAGTGAAAAGCTGGAAAATAAAATAAAACCACAAATCTATTATAAATATATTACAGATAAACTTGCCATCTATTACAAGCGCATTACAAGTTTTCAAAATGTGAGGATCCACAAATGCAAATAATTTTGAAGTACACATTGATCTATATTTAGTACAGCTAAAAAATAATAATCAATACATATTAAACTGTAGCTAAGAGTTAGATGTGGACAAGAGTGTAAAGCATGAATAACTTCTACATGGAACTGCAACAATGGTTCTATCATTATTACCATCCCTGTGCACAACCTTTTGCTTAGTATACTAGCCAAACCCATTGTTTGTGGTTGCCACCCCACTTTCCCCAGGACTGTGTAGAGAACCCAGGAAATAAAGGAGTGTTTTGTCCTCGTACTGAGCTTCTGCTGAAGACGCAAGCAGCACATTGCTGCTAAGGAATAGTGTAAAAACCCCATAGGAACCCTCAAGCTGTTCATGGAGAAAAGGCATAGTTTCTTTCACTTCCCATTGTGCATTCTGCCGGAGGTAACAGCAGTTAAGGCTGGCACTTTCTGCAAAAGCCAGTTCACGGGTTACATTTGAGGTGGTATTAAAGTTTTATCTGTGCCATCTTATTTGATGGCTGCATTCACAGATCACCAATGGGTTCTGTAGTCATCAAGCACTGAACATGTGTATGTCTCTCAGGCCACAGAATTCTCTGATTACTCTGTTAATGACAATCTTATCCTGGAGATCTGATAAAGGCCTCACGTATTTTGTTCTTTAACCGGGCAGCACCAACCAAGTATTTACACAGAGAAGAAACACACAGTTTTTACCTTTTCATTTTTTGGTGCAAGTGAATGTGAATACCGGCAATTTGCTCTCTGACAACCATTCAATGTATTGAAATGAATTCTGCAGACTCCACGGGGTAGATAACTCAATCCTAGGTAAGTCTGCAATGCAACCAGAGAGAAGTCTTTCATTTCCCTCTCAGAATTCTCATTTGAAAACCAAAAAAAACACATATGGTACACATATTTTGGGATTTATGTACATTTAGCAGGGTATGGACTACTTCACACATAGCACAAAGTGTCAGTTTGATTAACCTAACAATGGTTTACTTGAATGTACAAACCTAACCCCAGCAAACTAATTATAGCTTATTTTTCTACCAACAAACCATGAGGAGAAACCATGATTTGCTATTGGCTTATGAAGCATGGCTTGTTTCTGAGGGAGTAGGTACATTGCTTGGGGGTACTACTGGATCCTTTGCTGTTGCTTGAGGCTCAGATGGCCTCAGTAGCGTGGAGTGCCTCACATCAGCTTTCAAGCTAGCAGATTTGGGACTGAGAACAAGGAGAGAGGCTTAGAATCATAGACTTGTAGAGTTGGAAGGGACCCCGAATATGCTCAATTTTCAAAAATTATGAATCAAATGTCTCTAGCAGCTATATACCTTAAGTCAGAAACTTTATATAAAAGCAGAACAGTTGAAATCAGGATGACTTAACCCTATGAAAGAGAAACCTCAAACAAGCATGTAAATTGTGTCTAACTGTTTAAAGCTGTTTAAACTAGCTTTAAATGGTTGTTAACAATGCAAATGCTTAAATGGTAGCTAAGCTTATGCTTAGTTGCAGAAATTTATGCATTTTAAGGACTTACCATAACATTTTTTTTTAAACTGTTGGGATATGATGGCTGCAAAAGAGGACCTTTCCCCGAGAACCTGAAATCTAAGATTGAAGAAAAAAACCCTCCTAAACTGAATGAAATAGCCGTAAGTCATGATTATACACTATAAACTTCACTTATCTTATCCCAGAGATGACTGACAACTAAAGTTTTCATTTCCTGTCTACTGACAAGTTAAACTCTTTTCTTGTACCATGAGTAATAACAAATCTTAAATTAAATTTGCCACACTGGAAGGCAAATTCTGCAATTTTCAAACTGATTCTGTGTCAACGTAACAAAGAGTGATTTCTTTATGTTGATATTGCATCTATGCAGGAATACTGCACACCTTAACACATACATTTTCTTTTATGTATGCTTTTTCAGATGTTGCAGTATATAGACAGTGGCCTGGTTCACACACAACTCTAAATCATGGTTTGTTTAGCCAAAGTGTGTTTGTTCAAATATCTGGACCCTGCCCATCAGATTAGACATGGTTTTCTAGCAGCAAACCATGATCTGAAGCAAAGATCTGTTGTTACCTTACAAACCACTGGTTGTTTAACTACATTTTAGAGCCATGTCCTAGCCAAACAGACTTGCTTAAGCATGGTTGGTTTTGCCACCCCACCTTAGACACTTGCCAAGCTAGAGGAGGAGTTGTGGTTGGTTTAGCATTATATGCCAACAGTCAGTGTATTATATTGCTATCTTACACACAAGTAATGCACTTTGGAAATTATTTTGTGTGTAGCTGTTCTTTATCTTTTGGTCATATAGCTCTTCAACATCCTAAGAGAAGTACAAAAACTATTTGGAAGAATTAAATGGTTTTACTAGTAGGGGAGCAAACTCGTGGTCCTCCATGTTGTTGGACCCACAACAGTACCCCTTCAACAGCCTTTAAACTTGTTGTTTGATGATTATGTATTTTTACATGCATTCCTATATTCCCAGAGGATAAAATACCTCTGTGTTAAAAAAAGTGAGAGGAATGCTTCATTTTAACTATGAAATTCTGTAATTTATTTTAAGTCTTTGAAGGATGTCTCAACATAAGGAAAACTTTGGGCTATTTCAGTACCCCATTCTGACTTCTGGGGTGACAGCCTTTGAAAGATTTTGAATTCTATTGTAAAGCTGTAACTCTGAAGAATCCAAGTAAGCATGATTAGGTACACAGAAAATGTAGTTCTGGTCACATAGGGTCAAATTTAGACATTAAAATCATTTGGGCTCTTTGACTGCAATAGGATCTGGCCTGCACCCTACTTTACACGCATGGCCATGTTTCTCAAGATTTTATCTAATCAGGATCTAACTCAATATGGTGACTAGAATCCAAAACGTGTAAGGACACTCGTGGAGGTTCATTGTGTGCTTTTTTACTCTGAACGCAAACCTCCTGCCATAGCAAACTACTTTTGAAGTTTCCTTGTTTTCAAAAACAGTTTTGTAATGCCAAAGCTTTCCTGAGTGGTTCTCTGAGCTAGTTACATGGTTCTCTGAGTCTTGGCCAATAAAAACAGAAATGGCACTCAAATGTTATCCTAAATATACCTAATAATGCACTGATTCAGTAATTTATTTCACTGTCATCTTTAGAATTTGTTTAGCTAACTTTCCATAGTATTTTAATTAGATGGCCATTTTAGCTAAACAAAGATGCATTTATATTAAATCTCAACTAACGGTTGCCTTGGCAAAGGCAAATCTAGAACCCAAGTACAATTAAGCTAAGAACCCTCTGATCTGGATACAGAAGGTAGAACTAAGTGAAACAGGCAACAGAAAGGAAACTCCAGATGTTAATTCCAAGCTTTAATACAGAATCACCCTACTTTTCCTAGGTTGGATTTTAACTTTTATAAACATAAAGTAACAAGCACACCCATCCACATACATTTGCACCAGGTACACAGACATCATGGCCAAACCATTTATGCCTCTGGAATGTGCTGTAGGCTCACACACTCCTGCCTCTTCCAACACATTGTTATGTCATGGTTTGCAGAAACCAGTTTGTTGCCACATCTGAACTGGGAAAACTATGGTTACCACTACCACCAGAATCCACTGCCCACTTCAGCTGTGGTTTAGACTGTGGTTCCCACAGAATGGAAGGGACCTTTAGGATTACCTAGTCCAAGCCCTTGCAATGTAGGAATAGGCAGCTGTCCCTTATGGGGATCAAACCTGCGACCTTGGTGTTATCAGCACCACTCTGTAACCAACTGAGCTATCCAGCATGGGCAAACTATGGCTAGGAGTAATAGCTTCAAATACTATGACATTATGAGATTATGGCTGTGAGCCAGGAAATGGAGGAAATCAGCACACATGAGTGAGCCCATAGGTTTTTCCTGCAAACGAAACCCTGTCAATTAAATAGACCTTTATACAGACACAGAAAAGTAGCACTGTAGTACCATAAAACGAAAATGTGTAGGTATTTTGAACTAATACAATACCATGCACCCACGGTTTCACTGCTGTGACTTGCTGCCGGGGATCAGTTTTCATAGCAGGAAGTGTCAATTCTAGCTGATGATCATGGCTCATAGATTCAATGTATTGAGCCCTCTCACTAAATTCCAAACGAGGAAAAAGATGCTTATTTGACTAATAATACAAAAACTTTATATCTTTTATTTAAAAATTAGCACAATAAAGTAAATTATACTTTCTATACCCAAGCACACCTCCCTTGTGGAGGAGAGGAGGCTGCTCCTACTGATTGCAAAGATACACATAGCAAGTGAGCTGGGAACGAGAAGAAATGTGAGCAGTTAGATGGGGGCTTAGCATTTATCACTTCTTGATCAATACCATCTAAATGGTTGTAACCTGCCCTGGGACCAGCTGATGAGGCAATAATTTTTTTTATTATTAATCCTCCTCCACTGACTACATTGGTTAGGGCTCTGCTCCACAGCACTTGCGTTGTGAAGTTCCAAAAGGTTCCATGCTATTTTGCATCTATGTAAAATCACTAAGTGATGCCATACACCAGGGGTAGGCAACCTAAGGCCAGGGGGCCAGATGTGGCCCAATCGCCTTCTCAATCCAGTCCACGGACAGTCCGGGAATCAGTGTGTTTTTACATGAGTAGAATGTGTCCTTTTATTTAAAATGCATCTCTGAGTTATTTGTGGGGCATAGGAATTCATTCTTCTTCTTTTTTTTCAAAATATAGTCCGGCCCACCACATGGTCTGAGGGATGGTGGACCAGCCCACGGCTGAAAAAGGTTGCTGACCCCTGACATACACTGTTCTGGAGCGACAGCCACCCAGTAATATTTCTCCTTTTCAAACTCAGATGAAGTGGTCAATGTGCTCAAAAGGTGGCAAAGATCAGTAATAGACTAGAAGAAGGTGAGCAACCTGCAGTTCAATCTAGCCAGGACAAAATTACTACTAACAGGCTGCTTGCGTGAATTGAGAAGTGGCCTTTCAACACATTCTGTATCAAGTTGCTGTTAAACCCTGCACTAACTCTTAATGCTTTTCATGCTGTGGCATGAATTGCTTTCCAGCAACTGCAAAAACATGGACAGTTATTATTAAACTACTGTGAATGCATTGCACATGGGGCTGCTTTTGAAGACTGCTCAAAACCTCAACTGGTTCATAATACTTCTGCTTCAATTACATATCAAAACTGATCAAGTGGAACATCTTGCCAGTTTTAACACAGTTCCAATGGCTTCAAGTATGGACTTCTGAAGAATGGCTTCAATTCAACATTCATTTTAAGGCATAAATAAATAAATAAAATACTGTGGGAAGAGGTTATTTGTTTTGGTTTGTGACTATGTGATGTATTTTTGTGTTTTATATCGTAAACTGCCCTGTGATTCTTGGATGAAGGGCGGTATAGAAATTAATATGATGATATGATATGATTATAATATAATATAATACAGTGGTACCTCGCAAGACGGAAAACTCGCAAGACGAAAGGGTTTTTGGTTTTTTTAGTTGCTTCGCAAGACGATTTTCCCTATGGGTTTGCTTCGCAAGACGGAAACGTCTTGCAAGTTTGTTTCCTTTTTCTTAAAATTGTTAATACAGTTGCGACTTGACTTCGAGGAGCAACTCTTAGCACGCGGTGTGGTAGCCTTTTTTGAGGTTTTTGAAGACTTTGGTGATTTTTGAAGCTTTTCCAAAACTTTTCCAACACCGTGCTTCGCAAGACAAAAAAAATCGCAAGACAAAAAAAATCGCAAGACAACAAAACTCGCGGAACGAATTAATTTCGTCTTGCGAGGCACCACTGTATAATATAATATACAGCTTGATACCAGGTAGCTTAAAGGACAATTTGCTAGGCAGGTGGGAAAAGGCTCATTTTGTTTGTGGTGCCTCAGCTCTACAATGCTCTCCCCAAGGAGAGCTTCTGAACAGCCATTTTATCTCTAACTTCTACGTGTCTAATCTTGAGTATAAGACCAGAGAAAAAGGTTTGAAGATAAAATGTCGTCATTTCACTTAACTAGTACTACTTAAACTCATACACACATTTTTGCAGTGTCCTGAATCTCTGCTTCTTCTTTCACAGTTGAAATTTTGTACTGTAAGATTAAAAAGGTTGTAATTCAGTTAAAATAAACAGAAACGCAATGTTTCATTTAATAACTTTCTCTTTTTGTTCACAGAAAATTCAAGCGGAAGAAGTGTGGTTGCTGTTTATGGTTCTACAATTTCTACAATGTCTAAGTCCAACTCCCTATTGCAGGATGTCCTATTTATGAAACAATACCAACAAAAGCCTACCTAAGTCGTCTTCAAATCTAGCATGGAAGGAACTTCCATGGCTTCCCTCTATAGCTCACAATATTGCTAGACCCATAAGTTAATAAAAGAACAAATCATTTTTTAACTTTCATCTAATTTCCTTGCTTTGCTTAATTTTGATTTACACACTTAAGATTCACAGCACAGTTTCAGATTTATGAAAGAGAAATTAAAAGTACCATGCTGGTTTACAACAGTACATCTAATGAATCTCATTGTATTAAAACAGCATACAGATATCTCTAAGGCTAGGCATAGGCAAACTCGGCAAACTCAGATGTTTTGGGACTACAACTCCCATCATCCCTAGCTAACAGGACCAGTGGTCAGGGATGATGGGAGTTGTGGTCCCAAAACATCTGGAGGGCAGAATTTGCCTATGCCTAAGGATGTAACCCTATGCACACATAATTGAAAGTTAGAACTGCCCAATTTCAGTGGGACTTACTTTTAAGTAAACATGCATTGGATTGTGCTGTATGTAGTGCAATTTACTACAGTACTTGACAAGAGTTCCCTCAAATAAATGACACTCTTCTGCAACACTACCTTTTATAAACAAAAAATTAATTCACTTCAGTACCTTTTCATTTGTGTTAGAACTCTTTAAAACATCATCTGATTCGCTCAACTGCCCATCCTCAAAACAGGATTCAGCTACGCCTCCACATAGGAATTCTGATTTACTTCCATCAACTGGAAAAAATGCAACACATATGCTGAAACATAGTAAAATTGAGAACAGAATGCTTAACTATGGGCATATCACTGGTGAGTTTTTTAAAAGATGACCCTTCTTACAAAGTATGCAGTAGTACTGTACTAGTACTGTCCAGTACTGTACTAGTAGTCTGGGGTTGCGGCGCTCATCTCGCTTTACTGGCTGAGGGAGCCGGGGTTTGTCCGCAGACAGCTTCTGGGTCATGTGGCCAGGAGCTCACCCCGTCGAGGGGATTCGAACCACCGAACTTCTGATCGGCAAGCCCTAGGCTCTGTGGTTTAGACCACAGCACCACCTGTGTCCCATCAATGTTTAAGAGTAGACGCTGTTTAACACTTAACTCCCCCTGCACAAGTTGTCATTTTCTCCTTAATGTTGCATTTTTGAATTCCTGTTCTTACCTTCTGCCAGTGGAACACCAACATCTGTAAAAGACTCCAATATTCCATCATACTGAATGGGATCTTCTCTGTAAGCAAGAAAATTTTACAAAATGTTAAGTGAAGGAAAAGTTTTCTGAACCAATACCACACTCATCTAACTAAGCCACAATGAGTACAGTAAGCCTGCCACAACTACCCTTAACAATCTGGGTCATGAGTTCTTTTGCCTAGAGTTCCTAGCACCATAAACTGTTTTTGAAAATGGGGCCTATTCAATCCAAGCCCCTTATACCTATCAATAAGCTCAGGAGGAAAATTTGATGACAATATTTGAATTTTATAGCAACAATCCCGGTGGGGAAAGGTGAGGCACATTCCTTTCTGCATTTCCCCAATAACCTTTCTTGCATTGTTATCATAGGACCCATTACCTCCCTGAAGGAACAAAGCAATTCTAAAAGCAATTCTCCAAGAAAGGTGAAAGGAAGTTCCTAGGAGAGTTTGAAATCAAGTAAGATTCCTGAGACTGGTCCTATAAAGGAAGCTGGAGATTGGTTTGGGAGTTTAGATAAAAAGAATAGGGAGAGAATCCATAAGAATGTCCCCTTACTTGATTGTTTCCAGCCACTTAGTTCAATAAATGACTACGCCTACAGGAGATCCTCTCTTGGGATATTGCAAGATAAGAGATGTAAACCGATGGACTACCTTCAGTCCTTTGACATTATGGGACCCCAGCCCTGTCTTGTTTGTGAAATAGAAATAGTAGCAAACTTTAAATAACTCCTGCTGACCCATCTATTTAAACAGGTTTACCCTTGCTCATTAGATTCATCACACTGCTGTTTAGCAATTATTGATATTTAACTGAATGTTTTAATAATAAACTCTCTTTTTACCGAAGAATTTATTTGTAATTCTGGTTACAATGCTGTAAACAGCTTTATCTTTTCCTTTTTAATCTTATTGTGTTTTATGCAAACCACTTGGGTATTTTGTATATTAAGCAGTATATAAATATAGTCATACCTTGGGTTACAGACACTTTGGATTGTGCGAGTTCGAGTTGCGCACCGCGCCGAACCCGGAAGTACCGGAATGGGTTTTATTGTTTTATTATTGTTAGAAATGATTCTGTCTTTTTAAGTATTCTTAGTCAATTGAAGATTCTTTTCTGAGCCTTAGGCATTAAAACATGTGCAGTTTTAGCTGGAGAATTTAGCATAGTTAAGATTCACAAAAGACGTATACAAGATTTGTTTTTAAAGGCTTTCACCTGCCTAGTGTGGCAAGTTACCAGTCGTAAAGCTGTTATGTATTCTAAACACATCCCTCCAAAGGGATCACAACTTCATAAAGATGCTTCACAATACAGGAAAAGCAAATGTAGGATTATCACATTTGGGAGTATTGATGGTAGGCTGAACTATTCACTACTGCCCACACAACATATTATGTATGCAGTAGATGGCTTAAATTATTTGCCATTCTGCCTTGGTTGTATTCTATTGATAGACATGATTAAATGATATAAATGATACATTTTTATGATATAAATGATACATTCTATTAACTATGTCAAGCAAGCATATTCATCGTTGGCTAACCACAAATCTAACTACTGAATACCTAGCAAATGAAATTAAGCTAAGTAAGCTTTAGCTAAAACGGTTTACTGCAGCTGAATAGAAAAGTATTTCTAAATGCTATGGTACTACAAAGAACAATTTTCAAATGAAAAATATTAAGATAATTCGAAGAGGCTATTTAGTTCTACTGTCAATTGCAAAAGACCATTTTATACTGCCTCTCAGCAGCATAAATGTGTTTCAAACTTCACTTTCAATTGTTACTCTTATTGTCTTACTTTTTACTTTTATCACTGGGTTAAAATAATAAAAATAAAAAGCAGAACAATCCATTATTGCTAATCCTCAATTCTCACTGTAAATCCCAAACTATTACTGTAAATCCTACATAATATACTTAGTAGAAGCAAATCACATTTTTTAGTAACTGTCTAACCTCAAAGTCACTAAATTGTTTAAGGCTAGCTAAAACACGAGGGACGCGGGTGGCGCTGTGGGTTAAACCACAGAGCCTAGGACTTGCCAATCAGAAGGTTGGCGGTTCAAATCCCCGCGACGGGGTGAGCTTCCGTTACTCGGTCCCTGCTCCTGCCAACCTAGCAGTTCGAAAGCACATCAAAGTGCAAGTAGATAAATAGGTACCGCTCCGGCAGGAAGGTAAACGGCGTTTCCGTGCACTGCTCTGGTTCACCAGAAGCGGCTTAGTCATGCTGGCCACATGACCCGGAAGCTGTATGCCGGCTCCCTCAGCCAATAAAGCGAGATGAGTGCCACAACCCCAGAGTCGTCCGTGACTGGACCTAATTGTCAGGGGTCCCTTTACCTTTACCTAGCTAAAGCACAAGCATCTAATAACTCAAAACACTTACTATATAAATTATTTCCAAAGGATATGCTTACCTTGGACAGCAATCCAAATGTCTCTTCTGTGGAAGCTGAGGGGGTTCCGGTTCTACTTCCATTTCTTCCTTTATGGAAATGCTGACATTCAAGTTGGTTTGGGTACAATGCCCTTTGTCTTCTTCCTTGGTTTCTCCAAACAGATCAGGGTCATCCTGAATTACATCAATCACAAGAACATCATCTTCATAAGCCTTAACAACCTCTGCAGAGAAGTTAGCTTTGTCCTGTGCAAAGTTATTGCTGTAATTACTTTCATCATTAGTTGGCACTTCCAACACCGCAGAAGGGTTGTGGTTTTGAATCTCCATATAACCAGTACTCAAAGCGTCAGGATTATCTTTCAAATCTGCTAATTCCAATTCTCTCTCATGGGAAGTCTTCACACCTTCATTATGAACACTTGTCTCTTTATAAAGGCTTTCAAGAACCTTGTCAAATTGGTCTGCATTTTCTTCTAGGACAGTAATTCCATTAACTTCTTTTGACTTGAACTGATGTCTAGAATGCACATTGGACGAGGTCTCTTTAGCTCTGGCATTCTTCACTGACACAGTAGAATCTAGGATGTCCAAAGGACTGCAAACATCTCTTCTTGACAATCTAGTATATTCTGTTTTTCTGGATTCATTTTTATCCTTCAGTAAAGGAATTTTGAAATTTGATAGGTTCCCTTTGATTAGTGGTTCTTGTTTGAGAACTGAGGTCTTCCTATGTTTTCCACTGTCGGAACAAACACCATTATGAGTATCTATAGAACTATTTCTCTTTGCTATACTTCCTTTATTTTTAGTCTCCTTTGCTGATGAATTTAAAGCTCTTTTTGATTTCTTTACATTTTTAGTGCTAGAAGATCTGCAATGTTTAGGTCTCTCCTCCATACCCATAGAGGAACTTCTGCTGTCGTTAGCAGTAGCCGAGTGAGCCTTGCATGTATCAACTACAGATTCTGAGGTTGGGTTTTCATTGGGAAGTTGCGTTTTATGACCCATTACCTTATATGCAGAAGCTTTGACAGTACAAGCCAATGGCTTATGTAGCTCTGCTTGGCCAGAGAGAATTACTGAATCAGAAACTCTTAAAAATTCTCTTTTTGAGTCTGATGCATGATTTTTACCAAACCACAAGTATGTTCTAGCACACGATTCATGGGGCCAAACATTTTTACCAGAAATTGGTACTGCTCTTTGACAGCTTTGTAGCTCCAATTTCTTTCTAACTTTATGTATTGTGTTTTCTTTGACGGTTCTTTTTTCTCTTTTCATACAGCCAGCAACATTATTGCTGTGGTTGGTAATTTTTTGACTGACTAATGTCTCCCTTATAGAATTATCAACCAATTTATTACTACAGCAAATTTGTGGTTCTATTATGCTTAACTCATTTTCCTTTTCAAGAATCTCTGATTTCTCAAAACCAATGGCACTGCATGTGATAAAGTGTGCTTTGCTCATCTCTGTACCGCAAGATAATTTGGCACGTTTATTTTGAGGTTTTTGAACAGCCTGCTCAAGAACAAAATCAGGTGTATGACCAAGTGAAGACAATAAAGTTGTTTCATTGTAGACTGGGTTTTCCAATATCATTGAACTTCTTACGGCAGTTTTACTCTCCATTTGTAATCCACATTCACTGTGTATATTCACACTTGTGAAAGCTTCCTGGTCTGTTTTTTCCAGATCCTCAAGCACTTTAACCCCTTTGTTTAACTTTTTGAAATCTAAACACATTTTACTTTCCCTGGATCGCTTTCTATTTTGACATCTTGAGGAGTTCTTAATATTTTGGCACATCTCTTTTTCAACCAATGTGCTTTTTTCTGGAAATGATTGTCCAGCTTGTACTATATTAGGGCTGCAACTCAAATCGTTCTGGCCCATACCCCCGCTAGAGAACAAAACCTTACATTGATCAAGTGCAACATGCAGAGATCCAGAGTGAACCTTACAGCTTTGGGTGGTCTCAAAATTTGTAGGTGTCAAGAGTGCCTTAATGTAACGACAGTCAAGCAATCTCACTACTGGAATAGTAGTCCTTTCTACTGTATATGGCAAAGTATTATGCCTAGAAAACCATTTGCATTCTTCATTTTGCTGCACTACCAGTGCATTTGTTTCCACATTTTCAGCTACTGTTATGTCAGAAAGCTGCGAATTGGCATTTGTAACAGGAAGCAAGGAAGTATCCGCTCCAAAACAAGGGATGACAGGATCTTTGCTTTCAGTCTCATCCGATTTAGATACTGGAAGGCTTGCAGACTGCTCTAGCAGATTTTGTATATTGCAATCTTGAGAAGTACTCAGACCAGCCTTGTGAACTTTTCCATGCTGTATGCTTGAAAGTTCATGGACTTGCTCTCCTGAGTTAAAAAAGGGGATAATAATTAATCAAATGTTGAATGCATTCTAACATACAAGGTTGGACTTTGCCAAAGCATATCTGTAATAAATATGTATTTTATAAAAAATGCCTTTATAAACTGCAAGTGTAGTATATCTAACGGCTTAAAAATACAAAGCATAGTTCTCATCCACTATGGCTGGCATTCATTAGTACAGCAATTAGAATAATAAAATTAGAAATACAGAATATAAGAATCACAGAATTGTAGAGTTGGAAGGGACCACAAGGGACATCCAGTCCAATTCCCTGCAATGCAGGAATCTTTTGGCCAACATGGGGCTTGAACCCATGACCCTCAGATTAAGAGTTTCATGCTCTACTGACTGAGTTATGTATTTTGCTACCGGCTATATAAAATACTTGGTTGTTTTTTAAAAAAAAGTTTTTTAAATTGCTAAAATGTATTTGCAAGCATTTCCAGAATGGCAAAAAACAACAACAAACAAACCACAATATTGGAAATTCAATGCAATCCATAAAGAAAATTACACAAAGTAGAATGTGCACATACAGTGGTGCCTCGCAAGACGAAAAGAATCCATTCCGCAATTCTCTTCGTCTAGCGGTTTTTTCGTCTTGCGAAGCAACCCTATTAGCGGCTTAGCGCTATTAGTGGTTTAGCGGCTATTAAAGGCTTAGCTGCTAAAAGGCTATTAGTGGCTTAGCGGCTTAGAAAAAGGGGGGAAAGCGGGGGGGAAATCGCAAGACTAGCAAGACGTTTCGTCTTGCGAAGCAAGCCCATAGGGAAAATCGTCTTGCGAAGCAACTCAAAAACGGAAAACCCTTTCGTCTAGCGGGTTTTCCGTCTTGCGACGCATTCGTCTTGCGAGGCACCACTGTATATGCATACATACATACACACATAATATAGGCAACATACCCAAAGAAGGAAAATTGTAAATTCAAACTTTGCCACTTTTGGTGATATCCCTCGTTAGCGTCTGTTAACAAGCATATTAAGTTTTTCCCATAGCTTAAGTTTAAGTACATTGGTACCTCAGGGTTAAGAACTTAATTCATTCTGGAGGTCCGTTCTTAACCTGAAACTGTTAACCTGAGGTACCACTTTAGCTAATGGGGCCTCCCGCTGCCGCCGCACAATTTCTGTTATCATCCTGAAGCAAAGTTCTTAACCCAAGGTTAGCGGAGTCTGTAACCTCAAGTGTCTGTAACTCGAGGTACCACTGTATAGGCTAAAACTGTGGTGCCTTACATTTTCATTAGTCAAAAGTGAATCTAAATATGAATCAAAAGGAGCAATTTAATGGCTTCATGCAAATTGTAAACAGAAAGAGTGCTCCTCAGTCAGGGATGGAATTTCAGCCTCTTGTCTCCTCCAGAAAGAAGCTTGCTTTGTGAAGTGTCCCAATAAAATTACCGTACAATTGTTTCTAGCTTAAAGATTTCCTAGTTAACAGTATCCTAGCGCAAATATAAAGACCTGTGATTTAGTTTTTATATTAAAATTGAAAATGAATTAAGATTTTCAGGCTGTAAGAAAATAAAGGCTGGAGGGGAAGTTATGGTGAAAAAACATAACATACAAATACAAAGAAAAAGAGGGAATAAGCATCCTTACTAGATGTTCTGGTCTTTTTTTTAAGTTCAGTTGAAGTCACAATTTCATCCTTTCCATCTCTCTGTTTCTTAATACTATCATGTACTCTGGTAATCAGTAGATCCTCTGTGGGTCCACAATCCATCATTTTCTCCTCAAAGATCACTTGTCTACACCCAGGAACCTCTGAAACAGACTTCTCTGGTGTCCAGCTCAGGTTCTTATTATCATCTTCACACACCACTGATTTCAAAGAAGCTCGGGTTACCATTTTATGCTTTCTTTTTTCTGCAGTGTTCCTGTACCTTCCATTCTCTTCTAGATTTGCCACATACTTCAATAGGCATTTGCTATTTTGTTTTGGAACTTCTGCACCTACATGTAATTTTGCTAGATTCCCTGCAACAGATGAATTCTCCTCACTTTCTCCCAAAGTTCTCGGGCTTACGCTCTGTATATCAGGCTTTAATTTAAAAGACAAGCACCCTCTATTTGTTCTTTGACTTTTCTCTGGGTTCCTAAAAGCTTTTTGCTCTTGCAAAACCAATTTAGTCTTCTTCCTCATGTTCCATGTTTTCTGGTGTGGTCCCAGTTCAGAACAGCTTTCACTTTTCTGCAGTTCCCTAGTTACTTTCTGAGATTCTAGCCCTGTTACAGAACTCCTATCCTTTCCCATTAAGCAAAGAGCTGGTTTTAGTAAGGAACAGCTGTGCTTTTTCCTCAAGCTCCTTGCATTCTTCATGCAACTTTGGATTTTTCGTTCAGGTTCTAACAAGGAACTCAGACTATTTTTCTCCGGTGTCGTATCTTTGTCATGAGATTCCATTCCCAGCAAGGATCTCTCCCTTTTCTTTCTAACCCGTGATGCCAATTTAGTTTGCAAACAAACTCTAGAAGAAGAATCATTCGGCTGATCCGCCATACTCCGGACAGCCTTCTTTGAATTACGTCTCTCCACCAAAGCCATTTCCCCTTTCAATTTTATGCCCACATCATAATTACAGTCTGCTCCGATTGCATTCCTTTCCCTAGTACTTTGCCCCTTCCTTCTTTTAGAGACAAATTCCTTGCTCTGCTGCTGCTTCTCCCTTAACTGTACTTCAGAACCAAGAACAATCGGGTTGCTTAAGTTACTAGCCGACAAAGAAAATGACTTTTCCTTGCAGCTGCTCTCATCTTTCTGAGAGCGATCTAGACTGCTGGATGGTTGCGCCCTTTCAGCTTCCATCCCTATTTCTGGCAACAAGCAATCCGGCTGCTCTTTACTCTTTTGCACATCATGGACTAATGGAACAAAGTGCTTTTTTTTAAATTAAAAAAAAGTTATATTTTTCTAGAGACAGGCATATGTTTTATCACCTACAACTCTCCTCTTTTTTAAAAATAAATAAATCTCAGATTCACTTGAAGCTTATGCTCACCTACTTGCCAAATCTAGAGAGACATAAAATTACAATATTTTTTCCAGAAAAACCCACACGCTTCCAAAGGACGCTCAAATTTAATTAAAAAAAGATGGAAGGGCCCTGCCACAGGAACTTGTCTTCCTCAGGCCGCGAAAGCAAAGACTTGTATAATATATTGCGTGTAAAGATAGCAACTGATTTAACCCTAGCTGCCTATCCCTTTCTTTTGAGGTACTTTAGGGCCTGCAGCCCCTTCAGTAGGAAAGCGAGAAAGAAGAAGCCCCCACAGCCGCTTTGCAGACGTGCGGAAATTGCGCGGTCCCGAGTCTAAACAACTGCCACTGAACCAGTAAGAGAACCGGGGAAGCCGCACTTCTGAATGACCTCCCCTCCCGCCCCACACACCAGCACCGCGACCCCCAAGCCACTTCCCGTCGCCCCCCTCAGAAATCCCGTTTTCCCCTCCCCTCAGTGCGTGCATGCCACACACCCCACCCCACCCCCCTCACGCTCTTTTGTAGGCCCGACCGCAAGCCTTCGGACTCCGGCCCGCCGCCACCGCCCTCCTTTCCCGCCCTTTTCCCCACCTTCCCGCCCACACACTCACACGCTCTAAGAGGCGACCGCGTGGAGCGAGCGAACTCAAGGCGGCGAAAGACGCGCGGCCTGAGGGGCGGTGGCTCCGCGGATCCGCCTCGGGAGGGGACGGGATTTTTAAAAAAAGGCCGCGCGGGGAGGGTTGGAGGCGCACGGCTTTCCCTCGCGAGCGCGAGAGTCAGGCGTCGCGTGCCGCTGAAGGGAACGAGGAAAGGACTAGAGCGCGTCGCTCGGCCGCTCGCCCTCAGGCGCACCCACTGCGGTCAACCTGGCACCTTACGGGGAAGCTTGGAGGGAAGCGGACGAAGCTTTCCCCCTCCCCTTCCCACCCTCCTTCTCCTCCTCCTCCTCCTCTTCTTCCCGCTGCCAATATATTAAGCAAAGGGAGAAAAACGCAATAAAATAAAAGCGACGACGACGCAACTAGCCGGTCCCTTCCTTCGCAGGGTCACAAAATGGCGCCGTCGAGGAAGCGCGGGCGTCGGTCAAGGCGCCCTGCCCTCCCGCCCCTCCATGAAGAGTTTCAGAGGGAAGGGAAAGGTGTGAGGAGTCGCTTCCTTACTTTATAACGCTCAAGTGTGGTCAGAAGACACGTGTTAAAGGGTCTCGTGGAGATAACGTGCGGATGGGGAAAATCTGCACGCACACTTCAAACACACACCCCGCCATGTTATTCTCTTCTTGTTCACCATCGTTTCGAGGGGCTTCTTCCCTCCCTTTTTTTTGGGGGGGGGGTTCAGACCAGTTTTCCGAACTTGGTCCTCCAGCTGCTTTTGGACTACGACTCCCATCGTCGCCAGCTAGCAGGGCCAGTGGTGAGGGATGATGGGAATTGTAGTCCAAAAACCCCCCACAACAACAGCTGGAGATTCAAGTTTGGGAAACCCTGGTTTAAACCCCTTTGGTTTCTCGAAATCTGCCACTAGATGGTGCTGCTCTGGTGTGCCATGTAGGAGTTTACTTAATGAATTCGCGCAGTGTGTTAATTTATGCAGAATTTTAAGGAAATGAGAATGAGCTTTTGGGAAAAGAAGGTACCTTAAAGTGCAAAGCCCGTCTCCAGAGGTCAACTGCCAATCACTTATGCTTCTATAGTTTAGGCTTATAATGCTTTGCATTAATGCTTTGCATTAATCAGGTTATAGTTTCACCTATACAGGTACCTGCTTTGTATGGGATTCATTGATTCCAAAACTGCTAGCTTCTATGCTTACTCTGTAATACCCTAAAAGCATATTCAGCCTTATGACACTACTACCCCTTTCCTTCAGGTTAGAGGTTGATGCCCTACTCTGATTTCTGTCAACATGGGAAGTGGAATCTGGAAAGGTACAGAACAAGGATTTCTCCATGGTGTTTTAGCTTTGAGCTCGTTTCTGAAAGAAACCCCATGAGGTCTCACCATGCCATCTCTTAGGAGTATTTAAACATTTTTATTTGAACAAAGGTTTTATGGGATAATCACTGGATAATTCTGCATTCCTGCTGTTGCTTGCACCTGTAATTGGAATGATACTTAGAAATGTTGCATAATTTGAGATGAACATCAGGGGATGGCGGGGCTTTTTTAAAAAAAGACTCAGATGTGATATATATTATATACAATTCTTCCATAGATGCCAAGCCAAAGAAGAATGGGAAGGGACTCTATGTTGCCCTATTCTCATTTCCTTCTGTACCTGGTCAATTCCTGATGACGTAACAATAGAATGACTGAAAAAGCTGCATAAAACGCAGCCCTTCTGAAAGTGCTCAGTCTTGTTTAGCCACATCAGATAAAAGGGAATATGAAAGGGGAAAACATGATATTAAGACTAAATCTTCAGTCATTTTATTTGTTATTTCAGTTCTTATGAGATCCTCTAATGTGTGTCAGAATTATCCCCGTATTACAGATATGGAGAGTGATGAGGGTGGCTTCTTTTAAGGCCATTCTTTAAAGTTAAGTGATGAGCTTTAAATCTGAATTGTTGGGGTAGGGAGAACTCTGGGTTTTAGGCCCATGCTGTTAACTACCATAGTATGTTAGCTATTTGATACTTAGGCAAGAGGAATCATGCCTTGATACATCATATTTAAATAACCATTAATTTCCATATAACACATCTCTAGCACTTTCATCATTCTGTTTATTTAGCACAATCAGTAAGCACTGTGCTTTACAGAATACTGCATGGAGTTGCTTCAGTTACATATCCGTAGGCTTAGTTTCAGTTCATTAGGCAAATATTCTGTACATCGCTTTTAAAGTCAATCTAATTTCAGCTTTTAAACAACTACCCTGATGTGAGTGGTAGCTTTTTCCACCAAATGTATTTACACAGTTGTTCAGTTTAATTTTATTTCTCTCTTTGCCCATCTCAGGCGTTGATGCTGGACCTATGAAGGGCTGCTCATGATCAGAACTGCAGAACATCCCTCCCAGCGGCTCAGCAAGCTACCATTTATTTTTAATTGCTCCCCACAGTGGAGGCCAATTAAGGATGAAGACAGCAGGGTAAGGATCACTCACAAACCCTTTGAAGGGCACAGACTAAGCATTTGCTTTGCCGGAAGGCTGCCATTAACACATTTCATTTGTGCAAGAATGCAAACACTTGGACACACACTCTGTAGTATTAAATGCAGTACAGTTCTAATTCAACTAAGTTTTAGTGCAGATGGCAACCGAAGTGACAGAATATCACCCCTAGGTTATAAACTTTGAAAATTAGATTTATTTTCTTTATCCCTCCCTCTTTCAGCAGGAAGCACCTGCTTTAGACACTCTAATAAGACTCTCTGTCTCTCTCTCCCTCTCTCTCTCCATATAAATACTAGGTTTTCAGATTAAAATTATAGCAGGAAATTAGCATTAGTGCTTCTTACTGTTTGTTTTTATGGTAAAGAAAGGATTCCCTTGCCATTTAAATTTTAATGAATTGCGGATTTTTACAAAATATTCTAGGTATTTATAGACTGCCTGTCAATAAAATTCTCAGTGTCATTTACTATAAAATTTTGAGAAAATATCAATTTTCCTAAAATAACGATACAACAGTGGTTTTCAGCCACTTTAGGTTTAAATGGGGAACTATGTGGTATGTACATATAGTAGCAAGTATATATAGTATGTATATATATAGTAGGGAAATATATAGTATGTTGAAATGTAGATTTATTCTGGTTGTGATTAATTTTCTTTTAAAATCCATTTACACAGGGAGAGTTTGAATACATTAAACTATTACTGATTACTCAGTGAATAGATTAAACCACAAGGAGTTTCAAAGAGCTTGTGTCTTTTAAACTTCATGAGTACACAGCAGGAATTTTGAAACTTTTGTTGCAGAGAAGCTAAATTTAGTTTCAATTTATTCACTTCACACTCAAGCTTTTCCATCTCTGCACAGCTATTCATGTCTGGCTTTGTGCAGTAGTATAAATATAGGTTAGAGTGAACCTCCTGTATTTTAATTTTCCCTAAAAAATAGCACATGCTGTTTGGCTGTGATGTTCTTTAAAATAAATTACACTCTTTTCTACCCAGATAACAAGTTGTATATCGTGATTTTAAGATCCCGGGTAATTGTTACTCTTGTCTTGATGTGGCGTAATAGGTTTTTTGTTTGTTTGTTTATTTGTTTGTTCTTTTAATAGTTAAGACCAAATGTATTTGAACATTAAGTATATTTAAGTATGCTTTGTTTACTTATTGCCCAAAATGCATCTATTTGAAGGCTTGTAGTCTAATCACTGTATGAGCATAAACTTGTCGGACTGGCATAAGAGTCCCTCCCTGCTGTCAGGTGAGAACTGGATGACATACAAAACTGGTGCTCTTTGCCTCTTCCCTGGTAAGGAATACAGTGGTACCTCGGGTTATGAACTTAATTCGTTCCGGAGGTCCGTTCTTAACCTGAAACTGTTCTTAACCTGAGGTACCGCTTTAGCTAATGGGGCCTCCTGCTGCTGCTGCACGATTTCTGTTCTCATCCTGAAGCAAAGTTCTTAACCTGAGGTACTATTTCTGGGTTAGCGGAGTCTGTAACCTGAAGCGTATGTAACCTGAAGCATCTGTAACCCAAGGTACCACTGTACTTGCTTCTTTGATTGGAATGAACGGATCCACTAGTGTTAGGAAAGGCCATGCCTGCCCTCTTCTCCTGTAATCAGGACAGATCCATGAGATAGGGAGCTTGCTGCTCTTTGTAGGACTTGAAAGGGAAAAGTATCATCCATAAATGATAGGGTACATATTTTGGTAATTTTAAAAACCATTCCAATTCCCTGATGAGGTAAATCCTGATTTGTCTTGATATTACTGCAGGAATTTACTGCTGTGAAACATGCTTCATGTCCAATTTTGAAATGTTGGTCTCAGTTTTAAACGTCCTTTCCTCCTGAAGATATGGATGCTATTTCTGGAATCAAGGTAAATGCAGCCTTCAGTGGAACATGGAATCTTTCTGAAGGCATTAGCATGGTGAGCATAAAAACGCATTTGGAACCTTGCTGTGACTGGAAAGGCTCCCTGTGGAGGTGCTCAGAACTCTCTGCATATGTAATCCATCTTTCTGTCTCCCACAAGCTTCCTGCGTTTGACTGACAAGTCACTAACTGGCTGGAGTCCAGTCAATGGAAAAAGATCTTCCTGATTTACACGGCATTGTTTGCTCTGCTAAGATAAAACAAAACTCTTAGAGATAAGAGACAGTAACTTTTGGGTCATATGCTTTCTGCATATATGCCATTATGTGGATAATAATGCTTAGTCTAAACCATGTGGAGAGTATTTGGCAAAACTTTTAAATGGCCGAAGCCTCAAGAAGTAGGCATTAAAAATACATACAGTGGTGCCTCGCAAGACAAAATTAATCCGTTCCTTGAGTCTCTTCGTCTAGCGGTTTTTTCGTCTTGCGAAGCAACCCTATTAGCGGATTAGCGCTATTAGCGGTTTAGCGGCTATTAAACGCTTAGCGGCTATTAAAGGCTTAGCGGATTAGCGGCTAAAAGGCTATTAGCAGCTTAGCGGCTTAGAAAAAAGGGGGGGGAAAGCGGAAAAAAATCAGAACACTCGCAAGACGTTTTCGTCTTGCAAAGCAAGCCCATAGGGAAAATCGTCTTGCGAAGCAGCTCAAAAACGGAAAACCCTTTCGTCTAGCGGGTTTTCCATCTTGCGAGGCATTCGTCTTGCGGGGCACCACTGCATTTAAAACAAA